CTCTTTAAGATTATAACATAGTGTAAATTTCAGTCCTTTCAACCACATATTTTCCCATTGTCTGATCTGTGTATTACAACCAAAATTTTTAGCACATTTTATCATACATTCTTTGACTTCTTCTTCTTCTGTTTCAAATTTCAATAAACGTTTATACATTTTAGCAATTGCTCATTCATTCAATAATTTGTGCACAATTCTGTTTCAAAATCAGTCTTACAATGTTCAGTACCATAAAACAAGACACCTTAGTTTTGTGCTGAAGATCTGTGATTCATTTTCCCTGCGAGGGCATTTTGTAAAATAATCAAATTTTTTACTTGTAAATATAGCAGTGACAAATAATTGCTATATTTACAAGTAAAATATAGCAGTGACAAATAATTGTCACTGCTATATTTACAAGTAAAAAAGAACATTCAAATTCAAGAAGTAGCAGAAATATTTTTAAACATTTATATTATCACAAATCATTATTAAATCTTAAGCCATTTTCCCCATCTTCCCTTTAAAAAAAAAGCCCTCTTTCTCCCAAAGGACTCTAATTCCTGTTATGATTCTTCTTAGCTGTTAATAAACATACACAACTGACATACTGGCAATCATATTTCAATTGTTATTAATTTGTTCAATAAGAACCATGTATTCAATGAGTAAGTGCCAGAATCCAAATTATTTTTATATCTTTACATTTCCACCAAATGCATGGAATCCAGTTGTATGCCTCTTTTCACTGAAACAGTTTCAACTAACAGAAAAGGAGAGGGAGGTTCCCCTTGTTTCTTCCTGTGAAAAACTGTCCTGCCTAATGCTTTTCATGTTGGAGATAATTACAGCAAGAAAAATGTAATTGCATATGCAGATATGGTTCACTCGGATTCTACGAATAGGCTAAAAACACTGTGAGAATTACTTAGCGGAGACTGGAATATAACATGGCTGATGTATTTACAAATAGTCAGAAGGATAAAATCAGATTTTAAGAAGGAAGGAGGAACGTTAAGAAAAAAAACCCCCAGAATTTGAAATGCTAATACATTTACTGGCACCACCTATTAGGGCATAATACTGTACAAACATTTACTTAGATATGACACAGAGAGAGAAGAAACAAAAAATGGTACGATAAAATGGATGCAAAACTTTAAAGAAGCAGTTATAATACAACAATGGGAAGAATTATGGACTAAATCTGTAAGATTCACACCAAGTTATAACCTAAAGGAGAATTGGTACAAAATGTTTTACAGATGGTATGCAATTCCATCAATAACATCTAAGAAAGAGAAATCATTCAATAATAAATGCTGGAAATGTCATGAAACAGAAGGAATGTTTTATGGCATGTAGTGGACATGTAAAAAACCCCAAAAGTGTTGGAAAGACATACATAGTAAAATGCAGAAAATTTTGGAATTTACATTCTAGATGAAACCACAACTTTTCCTACTAAGTATAATCTCAGAAAAAAATCAGTAAGAAACATAATAATTTAATGAGATATATGCTTACAGCAGCAAGAATAAATTGCTGAACACTGGGAGACACAATTCCGACAATATCTGATTAGGAACTTAAACTTGGAGAATGTACAGCAATGGCAAAATTAACAGTGTATATATACAATGAAAGTTTAACTAAATTTAAGCAAGAGTAGTACAACAAATCATGCAGCATGGCAAATATAATCACTTAATGTTGTTAGGGGCCCTAAATGTCTACAAATATTGCAAATTAGCAGATATATAAAGGAGGGGAAGTCAGAAACCTAATAGTTTTTTTTTCTTTTTTCTCTTTTTCTACTTTTTGGTATTTTAATTCTTGTTAAATTTGCTCCATTCATCTGTTTTTTCCTTTCAATTTTATATATATATAAATATATATACGATGATATGATGGAGATTTTAATATTAAGTAGTTAATAAAGACCGAAAACTTTATTATATAACAAATACTTTGATGCGAGTTGCAGCAGGTTTTTTTTCTTTTCAATGTTATCTCAACTTTGAATGAAAAAGCCAAATAATTCTAATGTTTGTCATACTGATATCCTAAATTGTAATTAATATTGATAGAACATATTTTCTTCTCTATTTTCAATACTTTAAGTTATCTAAATAATAGTGTCAATTATGTTTAATTATATTATATAAACTTCACTGCATTGAAATAATACAATGTATCAAGATTTATAACAACATAATAAAAAGGACACACACACACACACACACACACACATATATATATTTATATTTGTTGTTGTTTAGTCGTTAAGTCGTGTCCGACTCTTCGTGACCCCATGAACCAT